TTTTGTATTACTCCGTCCAATAATCATGAGAATGTGAATCAGGAAAAGCGACACATAATTAATTCCAAATTGGGTTTTGTTTACATCGAAATTGGGTTTTGTTTTCTATTAATTTTATAGTATTAAAAAGAGACACTTGGTCAATTCAAGATAATAAAAAAAAAAGTGTTTATAACAACAGCACTTTGAGACAAGCATATATGAAGAAGAATTTTGACTCAAAGTCCGGGCCCATTTTAGTTATTGTAATAAAAAAGCATGTTTGGACACCTGAAGAATTTCCTGTCCGAATCATGAAAAGTAGAATTTAATCTTTACTACTTTTTTCTTTTACTTGTGTTAAGAAATTGAGAATTCAAAATATAATTAAATGGTAATATTATATCCCATTTGAAGTTTGGCATCTAATTTTCTACCTTATAATAATAACATCCGAACAGGATGTCAATGCAAGTTTTATTGGAGTGAGACCCAACCCCACACAAAAAGAGAAATTATTCTGCCTTTACTTATTTGTTTCCACTTTGTAAGAATTTGAGGGTCATTGAGTAATTTAACATTATGGGTTGTTTGGATTGCAAGAAATATCTAGCATCCAGGAGAAAATTCTCTCTCTCTCTCTCTGTGTTTAGAAGAGGGGACCAATTCATTCATTGGACAATGAAGAGGTGAGAAGAAAGAGGAAGGAGATTGGTGATGGAGGTGACATGGTACGTAAAAGATGTACACCACATTATTTTACTTGATACATTGGATGATGAAAGGTGGGAGATGAGATTGACCAGAGAGAACATTAAGGCCTTCATTCAGCTGGTAATCATAAATATATATAGCATTTCTTGTTCAATATATTTTCAGAAAGTTGATCGATTTGATGATCGATTCAAGCATGGTTACTTGAAATAATCTTTTTAAGGAATTCAAATATGACTTCACTAGCATATACATATTGCAGGTGGTTCAAACCAACCAGCCTTGATGATATGATTCAATGCGTGGTGCCCTGGAACTTCACTAGCATATATTGCAGGTGGTTCAAACCAATCAGCCTTGATGCTATGATCCAATGCTTTCAATGTAATCCCATTTATAACAAAAATTCAATATTATATATATATATAACTTCACTAGCATATATTGCAGGTGGTTCAAACCAATCAGCCTTGATGCTATGATCCAATGCTTTCAATGTAATCCCATTTATAACAAAAATTCAATATTATATATATATATATATATATATATATATATATATATATAGCTTCACTACCATTACAGAGAATGAAATTAAGGAAAAAAGTTTGCTGTGGTTTTGGGCTATATATGTGTGTGTGTGTGTGTTGATGGTGATCATATAACATCTTTTCTGATTTAATTAGTTATAAATTTGGAAATGTTATGCATTTTTGCCATTCAATTGGTTGGCTCAAATTTATTATTATTGGGTATATTAATTTTAACGAATCAAAGCTGGGCTTACTTTTTTCAAATACTTAGATGAAGAAGAGATATATACGAGGACTGAAAGCTTGTTATGAAAAATAAATGTGCAGAAAAGTAATAATCGCCTTCTTTTCATAAGAAACCTAAATGTGAAGAAAATAATTATGGAGTATGATTTTTCTCTGGGTCCATGAGACCACTTCTTCCAATTATGACTGATGCGACAGTAGCAATTTGTGATTCTTATGACAACATTAAGTTTCAAGATGAGATGGAAAGTTGACAAAACTATGATCCCAAGTACCTAGCTACTGCATATTTCAAAATATTTTGCTGTGCAAATTATTAATACTATTTTTTGAATATATACCTCCCAAGTGCATTATTTCTGATGCAGATTAATTTTCGGAATGGGGGAAAAAAAATACAGAGCTACAAGGGGCATTACTCATGCATGTATTGGTGAATATAATTTGTGGTTTGAATTGGTTTGTGTCAATCAACCGAGATCATTCGGGTTTCAGTTAGTTTGTGACCAAGTTTCTATATTATAGTCAAGTCTGGTTTTTAGTTCTTCATTGACATGGTTTATAGATTTTTAATTAAAAGAAATTTGAAAATGATGTAGCATATGCATGCACGGCAACATTGTTGTTTTTAACTTGCCACAAGTAGCGGCAAGTGGTCTAACTTCTGGCTGTCACAAACATTTGATTAAAATGCAAAAATGGACAGATTACCAATATTGTATTAGAAATTTGTTATAATTTATGGAACCTTAAATCTTTGCCATTATTATAGAGAACATTGCATATGGTGGTGATCTTAATTCACTTCTTCCTTGGCTTAGTCCCAGAAATGGCCAAAGAGTTCCTCAAAACACATGAAACTTCCTTTTTCCAAACAAATGCTGTTGATTACCCAACTTATGGATCAAAAGATTTCACCTACCTTTGCTTCTTGTGGACCTCATTGGAAGTTCATGAAGAAACTATGCATGTCCGAACTTCTTGGAGGCCAAACACTAGGCCTCCTACTTCCAGTTAGACGTCAAGCGCTTTATGGTGTCATTTTTAGAAAAGGCCAAAGCTGGCAAGGCTGTTGATGTTGGAGGAGAGCTAATAAGGGTGATAAATGATGTAATATCAAGAATGGTTATGGGCGAGAGGTGTTGTGAGAGTGAGGATGGAGATGGGGAGGTTAGTTAGGAAGTTGATCCATGCATGAGATATCTGAGTTCATGGGAAAGTTTAATCTTTCTGATTTTATTTGGTTTTGTAAGGATTTGGATGTGCAGGGATTCAGAAAGAGCCTCAAGGATGTTCATGACAGGTTTGACAAAATGATGGAGAGGATCAAAGAGGAACACAACGATATGCTGGAGGTGAAAGAGATTGGTGGCGGAGGTGAAGGATATGCTCGACATTTTACTTGATATATTGGAGGATGAAAGCTCGGAGATGAGGTTGACTACAGAGAACATTAATTAAGGCCTTCATTCTGGTAATTATTTTTTTAATTTTTTTAGTATTTCTTGTTCAAATATTAATATAACTATTTTCTCTAACATGGAAGCAATCACGTACCAATTAACCTCAAGCTGATTATCTTGATGAATTAGATAGTTTACAACCATAGATTAGTATTACTGATTGATCATCATAACTTCTCCAATTTTCAGAAAGTTTATTTGATGAGCATGGTTGCTAGACATAATCTTTTTAAGGAATTCAACTAAAATTTTTACATAAATTCATCATAATCATCATTGCCTTGAATCCCATATGAATGGAGTCAGCACATGGAATTCTAAAGTCATTTTTAATAATCTTATCCCATTGTTCTATGTGTTCAAACTATGCAAGTCTACTCTTAACTTTAGATTACTACTCAAGTGTGTAGTTTTCAAAAGTTGTCTAGGAAAATGGTTTTATTGAACTGTATGTCAATTTGTTTCTTTCTTATACATGGGAGGATTATGCTAAAACTTGAAAATGTAATGACACTATTGAATTGTATGGCAATTTGTTTCTCTCTTATTTTGAGAAAATTATGATTTAATCCATTGAAGATACATTTTTTGAATATATATCTATATATATATATATATAGAGGACATTTTTTCTGCTGGAACCGATACCTCTGCCATTACCATAGGCTGGGCATTAGCAGAGCTCATCAACCATCCCAATGTTATGGAAAAGGCAATTCAAGAGATCGATTCAGTGGTTGGAAAGAAGAGATTGGTAGAAGAATCAGATGTGGCAAACTCCCTACCTCCAAGCCATTGTACCCCATTAATTGGTAGAGAGTCAAGTGAAGATTGCACTATTTTTGGCTATGAATACCAGCAAGACTAGGCTTTTTGTTAATGTATGGGCTATAGAAAAACCTCTGGAGTTCTGTCCAGAAAGGTTTGTTATCAGTGAAGAAGGGAATGGAAAAGGGCAGTTGGATGTGAGGGAATAGCATTTCCATTTTCTTCCGGTTGGGAGCGACGAAGAGGGTGCCCTGGAACTTCACTAGCATTGCAGGTGGTTCAAACCAGACTTGCTGCTATGATTCAATGCTTTGAATGGAAGGTTGGTGATGGAGTGAATGGGAAAGTGGACATGGAAGAGGGACCTAGATTGACTCTTCCAAGGACTCATCCTTGGTTTGTATCCCAGTGCCTAAGTTTAATCCATTTCCATCAATGTAGCTCCATGTATAACAAAAAATCAACTAGTATGCTTCACATATCATGATGCTTACTGAGATCAAATTAGTTCACTCATTTTCCATAAAAACAAAAACATATGATCATACGAGCCTTGAAAATAATTACAAGCTTTCAAAAGCCTCATGTCTGAAAGTTTGGAAGAAGAACCAAAAAAAAGAAAAGAAAAACAGTTTAGAAGAATCAGAGGCCTAAAAGAAACATTAGAGCTACTCCATGAATCCCCAAAACAATAAATAAACCAAAATGACCATCAAGCATCAGAAACACAACATAGACTCATAGTCTCATAGACCTTTTCTTCTATAGCAAAAATACCAGTTTTGACAGCAAACACGTGAAGAAAAATACAAAATAAATCAGATGCAGAAAATAATCATAACTAAAGGGCACCAGCTTTTAGGAGAGGACAAAATCCTGAAACTCACCAAAAGGAATACAAACAAAATAAAAAGGTTTCACATATAACCTATAACAATTATATACAACGAATTTAAGAACCAAGCTATATCACATTACATATAGACAAATGCTAAAATCCTGTATAAATTGAATTAAATGGTAAGCAACAAATACAAAATAACTAATAGATTTAGGTGTCACCCCACTGTTTAGCAGAGGACCAATTCTTTCATTTAGTGGGACAATGTTATGTTAAGTATAGCCAATTAGGCAGGTACAGAAAGAATGTATTGATGATCTCAACTGAATACAAATAATTCTGACTATTACAATTTTTTTCAAAACAACATACACATGCAAGAATATGGATTTATCGATCAATTAAATGAAGCCATAGCAATTATATACAAAGAATTCAAGAACCTCGCTAGTTATATCATATATTACATATAGACCATTGGTCAACTCCTCCACAAATTGAATTAAATGGCGAGCAACGCCTAAGATGTTGGAGATATTGCGGTGAACAACAAATCGTAACTAGCTCATAGTTCATCTCGATCTTGGTGCTGACCCCATACAAGAAGCCTTCAAATCTTTCCTCAATTAACTGATATACTTCCTTCATCTTCAAGAAGACACAAGCCGTCAATAAGCTGTCTGAACAGGATTGATGTGCAATCCCTAAGCGGCATACTCCCAACATGTTTGCCATTCTTTCTAAATCCATCTCTCCGCACAATAGCTCTCGACAATACTTGGTGATATACTTCACATCATAGATACGGCCAAGTATATTACCAAGGCTTTCAATAAATTCCATAGGTGAATCTGACAAAGAACTCCCGGTTACCAGTTTGATTATATAAGCGATATCATACAAGCCATGAAATGTGATCCATTGAATACTATGATGGGATTGAACCAAGTTTCTGAATATTGCTGCAAATAGATTCATGTCAACTCCTTTCAAATTCAATCCTCCGTGCTGATTCTTCTTGAAATTGACACCCACACTCTTTCTAAAGTTGAATTGCCACGTACCACCTATATTTCTGTCGTTGTCAAATAATGTAAACCCAATTTGAGTCAACCTCATGCGATCGGTATTATACTTGAGATTATGGTAGTGCTCATCTTCGGATGCATTTCTTGACGGAACATGCAAAAAACCTATGAACTCCGTATCAATGGCTACAAACAAATACCTATGCATTATAATATCAAGAATGCATACTTCTGGTAAAAAATTTCCTTGCCAAACTTCTTTAATCCACACGATGTCTTGAATCTTAATGAAGAAGTAAAGAAAAAGAAATTAAGTAGTGTTATTAAAACCGTTTCCTCCCTTGACGAAGTGAAGTGAAGTGCAGTGCAATTTCTAATTTGCAAGGTTTACGAATGAAATGTAAGTGAAGTACTATGGAAGGTTTACGGAATCTGGAAGTGAAATAATACAGTTTCTAATATGGAAGGTTTACGGAATTTGAATGAGATTGTAACGACCCTCACCCTGGCCAGACAATCACGAATCAAGTGACCCTGCTGGTCACACCCATAACAAGCCTTCGGAGTTGACGAAACTGAAGACGATCTCATCGGACAATTGGACTTGTAATGTCCGGGCTGCTGACATTGATAACAAACAACTGCACTCCTGTCAGATCCAGCTGGCATAGGAGTGGTAGGAGCAGATCTTGTAGACTGTTGCCCCTGAAACTGAGATGGACTGCCCCTGTTCCTTTTCCAAGAAGATCCTTCTGAGGATGGCCTTGCACCCCTCTTTTGCTTCAATTGCTCTCTTCTTACATCCTTCTCTCTATTGTCAGCCTCCAGCATCAAAGCCCTTTCCACTGCTTCAGAGTAAACCTTAATAAACTGTGCCGTGATCAACGGCCTCATTCGATCATTAAGACCCGAGACAAACTTCCGAGTCTTGTTAGCTTCATCTCTCACCACTTCTGGAGCAAAACGGGAGAGTGAGGTGAACTTGTTCTCATACTCCGCCACTGACATGTTCCCTTGAATAAGATTATGAAACTGGTCTTGTAACTCCCATCTTTTGGAAAGCGGAAAGTACTTTTCATAGAATTGTTCCTTGAACCTATCCCAACTCATCTCTTCAATCTTGTACTGGTTGGTGATCGACTTCCACCAAACCTTGGCATCCATAGCAAACTTGTAAGTTGCTAGGATGATCTTCAAGTGATCCTTTGTCACATCCATTGAGGTTAACTGAGTTTCAACTTGATCCATGTAGTTGTCGGCTACCATTGGATCCGCACCGCCCTCAAACATAACCGGCATCAGCTGAGAAAACCCCTTAATGATCTTGAGACGCTTCTGAGCTGGAGTCTCCTCAACTTGAACTGTAGGTTGTGGTACCAACTGCGGCTACGCAACAATAGTTGCTCTCACGGCATTTTGCAACAATCGATTCAACTCTAGTGCCACAGAACTTTCACCCACTTCTACGAGTACAGGTGTTTCAACATTCTCTCTTCTTGGGGGAACAACTCTTGGGGGAATCAAGTCCCTAAGAAACATGTTCTCATCAACTGGCTCCGCCGGATTGGAGCTAGAGCTCTCACCAACATCGCCCCTTGTTGGCCTAGGGCCAACTTCTCTAGGTTCCTCACGCCGTGACATCGTGCTATAAAACGAGAAAACGATTCAGAAACATGACACTAAGACTGTGGACGACTCAACAAGAATTAATACCGTACAACACTTAGCATGCAAGACTATGCAAGAAACATTTTAACATAAATAAGTAAGCAAGTAAGCACATAGGCAGCTAAGCATGCTCATTTAAATAAGATACCACGTAGCAAGTAGTCAAGTAAACAATACAAACAACATCCCATGCGACTCTATGTAGGCCTCTACCCGTCGTCCTAAAGGTTTTCGAACCTTTGCTCTGATACCATTTGTAAAGACCTTCACCCTGGCCAGACACAATATTGTCCGCTTTTGGCTCACCCAGACCAGAAACTTCCCAGGGGGTCACCCATCCTGGTACTACTCCAAGTTAAACACGCTTAACTACAGAGTTCTGATGGGTTCACGGCTATCACGGCTTTAAAACGCGTTGTGTCATAGAAGGGTGTTGAATCTACATATAGCACTTGCCCCATCCACACCCAGACGATGTGGGATTGTGCACCTGTAGCTCGCCCAGTGTGGTAGCCTACTGGTGCCCCCTGCACACGCTCACACACACCCGCCCACAAGGTCGCCACAATCACCCCCCCTTTGGGGCCCAACGTCCTCGTTGGCCACACTTTCGGCTGGGTCAGACTCTGATACCATTTGTAACGACCCTCACCCTGGCCAGACAATCACGAATCAAGTGACCCTGCTGGCCACACCCATAACAAGCCTTCGGAGCTGACGAAACTGAAGACGATCTCATTGGACAACTGGACTTGTAATGTCCGGGCTGCTGACACTGATAACAAACAACTGCATTCCTGTCAGATCCAGCTGGCATAGGAGTGGTAGGAGCAGATCTTGTAAACTGTTTCCCCTGAAACTGAGATGGACTGCCCCTGTTCCTTTTCCAAGAAGATCCCTCTGAGGATGGCCCTGCACCCCTCTTTTGCTTCAATTGCTCTCTTCTTGCATCCTTCTCTCTATTGTCAGCCTCCAGCATCAAAGCCCTTTCCACTGCTTCAGAGTAAACCTTAATAAACTGTGCCGCGATCAACGGCCTCATTCGATCATTAAGACCCGAGACAAACTTCCGAGTCTTGTTAGCTTCATCTCTCACCACTTCTGGAGTAAAACGGGAGAGTGAGGTGAACTTGTTCTCATACTCCGCCACTGACATGTTCCCTTGAATAAGATTATAAAACTGGTCTTGTAACTCCCATCTTTTGGAAAGCGGAAAGTACTTTTCATAGAACAGTTCCTTGAACCTGTCCCAACTCATCTCTTCAATCTTGTACTGGTTGGTGATCGACTTCTACCAAACCTTGGCATCCATAGCAAACTTGTAAGTTGCTAGGATGATCTTCAAGTGATCCTCTGTCACATCCATTGAGGTTAACTGAGTTTCAACTTGATCCATGTAGTTGTCGGCTACCATTGGATCCGCACCGCCCTCAAACATAACCGGCATCAGCTGAGAAAACCCCTTAATGATCTTGAGACGCTTCTGAGCTGGAGTCTCCTCAACTTGAGCTGTAGGTTGTGGTACCAACTGCGGCTGAGCAACAATAGTTGCTCTCACGGTATTTTGCAACAATCGATTCAACTCTAGTGCCACAGAACCTTCACCCATTTCTACGGGTACAGGTGTTTCAACATTCTCTCTTCTTGGGGGAACAGCTTTTGGGGGAATCAAGTCCCTAAGAAGCATGTTCTCATCAACTGGCTCCGCCGGATTGGAGCTAGAGCTCTCACCAACATCGCCCCTTGTTAGCCTAGGGCCAACTTCTCTAGGTTCCTCACGCCGTGACATCGTGCTATAAAACGAGAAAACGATTCAGAAACATGACACTAAAACTGTGGACGACTCAACAAGAATTAATACCGTATAACACTTAGCATGCAAGACTATGCAAGAAATATTTTAACATAAACAAGTAAGCAAGTAAGCACATAGGCAGTTAAGCATGCTCATTTAAATAAGATACCACGTAGCAAGTAGTCAAGTAAACAATACAAACAACATCCAATGCGACTCTATGTAGGCCTCTACCCGTCGTCCTAAAGGGTTTCGAACCTTTGCTTTTAAACACAAAAAAAAAAAAAAAAATTTGGCTAGTGTCCCTGACCCTTGGTAACCCTTTTATGCATGTATTGTGTGATGTATATTGAGTAAAAGAAAAAAAGAAAACAAATTAAAATTTTGGTGGGACCCACCACCACACCCAAAAAGGGTTTGAGACCACAATTGGTTTCCATTTTTCTTCTCTCCCGCTGGCCCTTCCTTCTGTCTCTATTTCTTGGTTTTTCTTTTTCTTTTTGAACTCAAACTTCATTCTTAGATTACTCCTCCACCTTTTGTCGGATTGAGGTGCCGTTTGAGGCAAAACGAAGCTCGTGTCAAGCTCTACACATCCATACAAACAATTTTAGATTTTGTGCCCCTTTGGATTTCGAATCTTGAGACCCATTTTCTAGGGTTTTGGTGCAATCTTGAGGTAGGGGCATCTTAATCCACTCTCTTCTTGTTCCATTGTGAGTTATGCTTTTTTTGTTGTGCTAGACATGCTAAATTGAGAATTAATTGCTTCAATGAGGTGTAAGTGATGTTTAGAGAAAATTCATGTCTTAGGGTTATGACTTGTCTATGTGAAAAGCATGTATAGATGATGGCTTTGTGGTGTTTTTTGTGAATTACACCTCTTTTATGTGCTAACATGCTTTACTTAGAGATTAATTGTGTTAATGATTATTTTAATGTTGTCTAGAGAAATGTATGTTTATGCACATGTAATGTATTATGTGAAAAACATGCCTATGTGTTGAGTTTATATCTATTATGTGTAAACTTGCTGAAAGAGATGTATGAGACCATGCTTAATTGTATTGTGCCAAAATTTCACATTGTCATGATATTGAGATTATATGTACATTCTTGGACATGTCATTGGGATGCATGAAATGGGAGAATTTGTCTTGAAATGAAAATGAGGAATTTTTGGGAGATGATAGTTTTTGTGAAATGGTTTTGATAAACCCGGTCGCTGCGGGGTTACCAACGGGCCGGAGGTTAATATAGCCTAGAGGGGACTAGGGAGTCGCCCTAGTGTGGTTGAGCTAGCTGGGCCCCATAATGACGCCGCGGGGTTACCAAGGGTCAGGGACACTAGCCAATCCTCCTCTCGTGTCGCGGCGGGGTTACCAAAGGGCAGGCTGTATTAACGTTTGAAAGTGATGGTTTTGAGAATGAAAATGGAGAGTGTCATTGACATGCGTTGCATTGCATTGTTTATAATTGGAAATGAATTGTATGTTATATTTGATCCCCTACGTTGTATGATCCCTATCTCCCATTGGCCTATGCTTTGCTTGAATTCACAAGGATACAAGATTTGTATCTTAAGTGTCACCTACTGAGCATATAGCTCACCCTACTATTTATACATTTTTTCAGGTCTTGGAAAAGAACCGGTGGACAACAACCCACCTCAAGCTTGAGCGATACTAGAAGCTCACTTTTGTGTCTTTTGTATATCTCCCATTATTTTTGCAAAGCACTAAAAGTGTGAAGGTGTATATGTATATTTTGCAAAAACTTTGTCATGTAATGTAATTAAGGTATTTGATGATATTTTGGATGTGAATTTGATAACATGTAAACCTTATTGATGAATGGGGAGAGTAATACTAGTTTGAAGTATTATTGAGGTCATTTGATTGTGTATCATCATCTACTATTGTCGTGAATTCGGAATTTGGGCCATGATAGGTTAAAAATGAATTTAAACAGGGTATGGTAGGCCTATTTTTAGGGGAGGTCATGCCAAATTTTTTATTTTTTTATTTTTATTTTATTTTATTTATTTTATTTTTTTTGTGTGTTTAAAAGGTATTAGTTTTGGGATCGTTACAGCGATCCGTGAAACAATGGGTAGGGTAGATTTCACACAGAATATGAAAACTTATGCGAGTGAGTGAGGAAGGCAAAACATATATAGAGTCTTGGCCACCCCCTTCCTAATAGTAGGACTCCTAGGATTGCCACTTATCTTATCCTTATCTCTCTCAATCATAATGCCGTTATGACTTAATTACTTGTTATACCAATTGGGTTAGAAGCAGGATCCCTATCCTTCACTCTTGTTAGGTACACGTATTATATAACACACAAAAGAGGTGTTACACCAATAAGCGCTGTCCTGATTACTACTTGTCATACCAAGAGAATTGGACGCTGTCCTAATAAGTGGTGGAGTTAGTATTGCTAGCCAGTAAAAGAGGTGTCTTAATGGGCCGCGGTAAATACTAGCCCAGTAGAGGAACATTACATTCATTCATTGAGTTAAGGGTTGGGTCTGCTCTGGATTGAGTGTTTTAATATATAATATATTATATAACAGTATAAATTATTTTTTGAGATAATAATATTTATGATTTATTGTGTATATATTTATTTTATATTATTATATACTTATAATTTAATTTATATTATTATATACCATATCTATATTATATTATATTATATGTAAATATTAAATTATAATTAATTTATATTATTATAATGCATTATATATTTTTTATTACATATAGGATATATTATGTAATATTTTTTATTTATTATAATATACTATATGTTTTTGTCTTAGTATATCTTGTTTTGTGCTTATGTATTAGGTATTATTAAGATTACTGGTAATAAAATGTCTTAATGTCTTACTAAACATTGTTAATAATTTTAGTTTTTAAAATTGTAATAACGAAAGTCACTCCGCTCCTCTTGTTTTCATTCCGAAAAGTAAAATTATGTTTTTATTCTTTTGCAACAACAAAATCAAAAAACGTTTCACGGATGCAACATCTCTCTTCTTCTTTACGCATAAAAAGTTGGATTTATTAAGAAAGAAAAGCGCGGCCCATTTTATGCTCTTCATTTCTTATTCTTCTTCCCACGAATGAAGCAGTGTAGAAGTAATTGATGCATATGTGTATATATATATATATATATAACCAGTGGAAAAACTTAGCATAGCAGTGTACCTGCAGGCCCTGCACAAAATTAAGTGCTTGGAGGGAAATGGAATGATTAATGGGACTTAAACTTCTTTAACATTTTTTTTTTCACAAATAACGACAGAGCTCGATCTTCAAATTCTTAGTATTGCAGGAAGCAATGGCCCCAAATTCATACCCGGGTATTAAAAACAACGGGAGAGCCTAGATATCGATCCGGAGATTAATTGATCCCTTGGATATCTCCATGTTCAATTACAGACACCTGAATCCATGTTCAATGGCAGACACCTGAATCTATGTGTATGCATGCGCCCAAAGCAGAGGACCATTTCATTCATTTAGTTGGACAATGATGTATAAAACTGGTTTGTGCGACAAGGATCCATGCCACAGTCTGGGAACAAACAGACTATGAAAATATATGAAGATGAAGGCAATTATGCTATAATGTCGTCCACATATCTTGATGATGCTTAATGAGATTAAAACTAATTCACTCCTTTTCCATAAAAACATACAGAGTCTTGAAAACTGGAAGAGATACCATCAAGTAAATAAAAGCTTTCAAAACCCTCCATGTATGAAAGTTTGGAAAAGAAAACAGCAGGATTAAAAGAACCACTGGAATGCTACAGGCAGGCACCATAAATATCTACTATATCCACCACCAAACTCTACCAGTATGTATTAGTATTTGGTATATTATACCAATTTATAAACCAAAGATTCAAATAAAAGTTGAAAACATAACTGGGAAAAAGTAAGTGTTGATTACATTGACCACATTTGAAGCATGGAAATTACATAGCAGCAACACCATGTTTGTATGTCTGTAAAAGTACCAACAAGCCTGGATTCAGATTATGTTGGCTTCTACTGGCCCACTAAATTATACTAGCAAATCAAATGCTCAAAAGTCCTGCTTTTACCCTTAATTTGACTCAAAACTTTCCACTTGCAAAATGAATGCATAAAGAGTCACAAACTCTGATAGTCTGATCCCCTGGATAAAAGGGTTATAATGGCATTAAAAATAATCTATCAAGTCGCTCATTCGCCAACAGCTAAGCACGCGTAAACCACAACTTGGGAAGCAAACAGACAACTCCCAGAATCATTATTAAACAAAATCAAGTAAATAAGTAAACAAACAGAGTCATTCCCCAACAAATTCCTAAAATTTGAGGATTCATAAACTTAAAGAATGGTTCTTGTTGCAACATTCTTGTACAACTAGAAATAGGAATAATCAGGAATGAAAATTTATTCATCTTCACAAAAGAATAAAAGTAAATTCATCGACAAAACATACGACTACTCTTAAAAATAAGAAGATAAAAGAATCTCATAATCACCGAAAACCTTTAAGAAAACAGGTCAAAAGTGGTACAAACTTCAGTACCGTTACTTCACAAAACAAAATCACTGTAACAAGATGCACTAGTGCACAACACCCCACCCCCAAGAGAGAGAAAGAGAGGCTACTAATGGTTGATGCAAGTACAGTTTACATATCAATCATTTTAGGTTTTCATATATGTCAGAGAGCTGTCCAAAATACAATAATGCCTTGTCCTTACTCATTAGAATTAAGAATGCAAATTAAAAGCCTAGTCTCAGTTATTCCTAAAGCTCTGATATTCAGGAGTTGTGAAGAATAGTCCAAATGCACCAGCACTAATAAAATCACAAGACTTATGGCAACATCAACACTATCATTTCCATTTCCTTATTATCTTGCATTCTATTTGGTGCTTCCAGGCTGCATTATAATTTGACACCCGGTTAGCCACTCCAACAAGAAATTTAGAACAAGAACAAAGTAATTCCTCTTTTTTATTTAACAAAAACAACTCATCTAAAAAAATGATATCCAAATTATTTAGGTCTACTGGACAAATTTGACCATTCATTATACTTTATAGACTTATTCTGTACTAGTACAAGCTTCAAATTGCATGACATTTCTCCTTTTAAGTGGTGCTGCAACTCGCAAGTGGTGTCGAATTCAGTAATTTAAATTAAATTCTGCTTTTCTTGCCACTACTGAGGCAATTACCAAATCTTTATGAATGCCTACATTTTCTAGTCTAAATTTTTCATCCTTTCAACTCATCCATCTCAAAAGACACACATCAACTAAGACTGCCACTGCAATCTCCAGATGAAATTTTTATTGCTCAACATGTAATACAAAAAGAAAATTGATTTTAGTCATCTAATCAAACTTCCCACTCAATACAATTAGTATATGAGGTCCACATAGAACTCCAAAAGTACAGTTTTACTTCTCTTTCACATCTACCTTAAACATTCTCTCATTTCTACTTCTACTGTAACACCACAACCTTTTTTTCCTTGGTTGGGAAGGAAAAAAACAGAAGCTTATACAGTACAAATGTTTGCACATATGTGCTGGTTTAGTTTGGCTTGTATTTAAAAATTTAGATTTGAAGCATCCTTCAAATCTAACTCAACATTGTCTCCCTCTTTGAGTTTCATTAATCAAAACTATCATCAAACAAATAGTATTTAAGATAGATCACCTGAGTTTGAAAATCGAATTCTTACATTATATTCTCTGGAGACATGATAGGCCCCAGTTAACGTGACAATTTTAGTCCAGAGAAAATCCTTGTGAAGCTAGCCTCACGAATAGAGAATCGAGCTCAAAACCTCCACCTTAAAAGTGTCATTCTTAACCAACTTTTCCACTCCCTCGGGATTAGGTTAGCTATTTATTTATGGTCCAAAGGTATTGTTAAAATCATAAGCATATGCTTTAGACAATCTTTAAATATTCTGTGTGTAAAAAAAATTCGGAGAATTTATTCAGCACTATTTGATGGATATATGAACATTAACTATTGTGTGAGGTCTGGGAGAATACAATAATAATTTTGAGGCATTAGAGAAGATGCAAGGCTGTGTAAGAGATAGTAATTGGGGCTTATTTTACAAGTACATAATAATATTGAACCAATATATGATATTCAAGCATCATGTTCATAAAATTTGTGTTCCTCGTAAGTTTCCATCCATATACCCTGTTTTAATTTAGGGGCTATTGCCCAATGCAATGATAACAAGACGAATTGTCAGGCATGAGACCATAGGTCCGAATAGGAACAACAGCGAACTTGTGCAAAGAATGTGAAAGGTTAGATATGTGTCTAGTTTACCCCTCCAAAAACCATCAATTAATGGGGACCAATTTTACGTTGGTTTCATAAAATTGGTTTCATTTATTTATGCTTAAGTAGGAAAACAGAAAACAATGAAAATACTAGAAGACTAAATAAAACATGCATGAACAGTCAGAACAAGGTATAACTGCACCGATCACCAAATCTACCTAAAACATGTTCACTTTCTCTTTTATGACGAAGGGTCCCTACTTCTAACAGAAAGAACAATGATATCATAATACAAGTAGACTATATTTAGACAAATAAGAATTTGTTGTTGTTTTAACTTACCTGAAATCTTCTGACGAGGCATTAGATCATCTTGAAATGACAATGTAATGAGATCCTATCATTGAACATGAAATTGTTAATGGACCACTATTGAAGCATTACCCCCACCATTTGGTGTTGGCAGCAGAAAAAATGCCCCAGCCTTCCGTTGCCAAGAGAAATGTCTTCAGTAAAAGCATGTATTCAGCCATGTCCATTTTCAATACTAATCCACACTTCAAGCTACAACTTCACTCTTTTACCACCAACTAGGTAGATTCAATAAAATACACTCATTGGTTACATTTATCTTCAAAATTACCAAGTTTTTTCCAAGGAAAAACAACAAAAAAAATAGTTAAGTTTAATAACAAAGCTAATTTGTACAACTGCAATGGAAAAAAGAAAAGAAAAGAAAAGAAACAAAACATATCTCAAGATGGTATATGCAAAGAAGCTTCTGATTACTGATAGTAAATGCGTAGAAAAGAAATTAGCTTAGATATCTCAAGATGGTAGCTTTTGGAAATAGTCAAGTAGTGTATTCCATTTCAAAACTCCCAACAAAACCACCCATTTGAAAGAAATTTTTTTGGGCATTATCAGAAACAAAACATATTTCAAAACAAATATAAGAAACCATATATTAACTGATAACACTGCTCTTTCATATTTGTGATTTATCCACCAACAGAAAAAGAAGGTAGGACTCATTGTGATGGATAACCTGAACCTCATTTGCACCCCACTCCAACTTCTGCAGCCCGCCGAGGCTTGTTTTTCCGCCTGCTACCATTTTGTCTGAACCCAACTGACCTAGCCGAATCATTAGCACCAGTTTTGGTTCCTACACCATTTTCCTCTTTGACAGAATCTGGATTTTCCTTCACATGCGAAGACCGCTTCCTCTTACTTCCGTTCTCCATGGCACCCTGATTTTTCAGGTCTTCATTAGAGGTCGAACTTTTTGTATTTTCACCATCTTCTTCTTCTTCTTCTATCTTCTCAGCTTCTTCTTCCTTGATTTCATCCTTCAATGGTTTTTGTGGCCTTCCTCTCCTCCTGTATGTTGGAATCTTTTCTTCCTCACCACTGCCAGTATCTTCATGAGCAGCTACGACAGCTTGTTTCTTCCCTTTTCCTCTACCTCTACCCATAATGTAAACACCCTGTATAATGAATCTCAAAAAACTGATAAAGATATCTGTAAAAACAAACATAGAAGAATCAGAGGCCTAAAAGAAACATTAGAGCTAAAGATTTCAGTTTTAAGTTTTGACAACAAGCACATGAAGAAGAAATACAAAATAAATCAGATGGAGACAATAATCATAACTAAAGGGCACCAGCTTTTAGGAGTGGACAAAATCCTGAAACTTACCAAAAGAAATACAAACAAAATAAAAGGGTTTCAAAGACATATAAATCTACATTTTCTTGCTCTAATCCGTAGAAAACACAAGATAAGCATTAGAAACTGAAATTTTGCATGAAACAAACTGCCTACATAAATAACAAAAGATAATATATATCTTTACAACCAAGAGAAGATAAAATTCAAGGGCAGAAAAAAAAAATTCCAGAAAAACAGTCGCAACCCAAAACCATTCTGGTAAAATAAATCTAGATAAATAAATTCCTAGCCAAAGAAGATGAGCAATTTGTTTTTTTTTTTTTTAATCAGCAAAACATGACAAATCCAAGCTTGCTGTACCTTTAGCAATTACAAAGAACAAAACAAAACCTATAACAACAAAAAGAGCATCAAAACGTGAAAAGATGAACTTTTCCAAGAAACAAACAGTACATCACAAAGAATAAGGCTTTGTGTCTAATGATTTAGAGAGACAGAAAGGAAAAAAGTAGAAGATAAAAACATGGAAAATGAAGCAAACCTCATAAGAAACAGTCGGCTTTTGCATCTCCATCGCAAATTCTCTCCCTCAGAACCTGATTACATCAATCAAAAATCTAAAAAAAAGAAAAACCCATTAATCAGATAGGTTTGTTTATATCAATTGCTTCACTAGTAGTTGAAGTATAGAAACAAAAAGAATGATTAGTGGTGAAAAAAATATGATCTGAATGAGAACTATTGAAGACCCAGATCAAAAAAGAACAAGAGAAAAGTTAAGATTTAACAAAAAATTGAGATGTGAAGACATTAATTTGTGTCATTGGAGAGTTAAGCGAAACTGCAGAGACACAGGCGGAGGCTGAGGCAGAGAAAGAGAGAAGAAAAATGGAGTAATAGTATAGAAAAGAGTGGTGAAAAGATATTTTATCTATTTTTTCGATGGGCCTGTTTAAGAAATTAGTGAATTTCTTTATTTATATTATATAAAAATAAAAAGGGGAAAGTTTTATATTTAACACTCATACCCTAAGAATGCCATACTCGAGGTGAAGAAATATAGATTACATATTGGGTCCCACTTAAAAGCTACTTAGCTCATCAATGGATGACCCTGAACCACACGATTTGAAGAATTCAAAGGGCACGTAACTTTGGATAGTTATGTAAATGAATGGTGTATACACATTATGTATAACTCTCCATAGGGTAGATTAGAAATTTGTTAGAGAATCTCACGCGCAATCAGCTACAGTGGAGAGTATTATTCTTGACAAATTAGTACTTTCCTATAGTACTAATAATGATAATTATGAAATATTTTTTTTATTCTCTTTTTTGTTTTTTTAAATATTTATGCAAGAAATTACATTATTTTTAAAAACTTAACAAATACATAACTAAAAAGTTACAAAAAGTAATATTTTATAGAATAAATATTTTGCAATTGCCATGTTATCCAAATGGTTGGTTAGAGCCGTACACCCCCCTCCCCTCTAACCCTAATCGTAACATTATTGCCATTAAAAAAAATAAAAATAATCATTTTATCCTTTTTTTACCAAAATGTCATTTCTTATATATATTTTGACTTCTAAGTGAATTATTTAAAAAAAAAAAAAACTGAAGACCCTTCTATAATTTCATACTTCATCTATTTGCTCTTATAAAAGTGTAACGACTTAATATTATTATTATTATTTAAGTCATGTTTGACAAATTCATATTTTTTTGTTTTGAAGTGAAACACTAAAACATGTCTAGTTACGAATTTAAATAATATAGAAACGCTTTCAAAAAGAGATCAAAATTGAAAGTATCAAATTGATATTTTTTATTGCTTCAAAATGTAGCATAAATACTATAGCGATGAACAGTACCAAAAAAAATCTTTAAAAACTTTTTTTAACTATTTATTTTATTTTTAAAATTTACAATACTTTTTTTATCAAATATGTTTTCATATTATTACTTTTAAAAATCTTGTAATAAATATTACAAAACATATTTTTCATTACTATTGAACACACTCCAAATCAAAGTTACTTCTATTTTGGATCAAAACAAAAGGGTTCCATAATTTCGTATAAATTTTGACATTTCCACTAAATAATGTTATAGTTAAAAATGTCATTTTATAAAATTTTATTTGTTTAAATTACCCTAGTCACGTTCTTAGTGGTCACATTTGACGACAAAAAAAACCTAATTAAGTTGTGAGAAAAACATAAAGAACAATTATCCCAATTACCCTTTTGTTTACTTTATGAATATTATTTTCAGATTTCAATGAATCAATGAAATAGCCTTTCCAGATAAATATATATATATATATATATATATATAAAATAAATAAATAAAGTTGTCACTACCTTTGTTCCACAAGAATCCTATTACACACCACAATGTTTTTATTTCCCCTTCTTTCTCTCTAAACTATGAATCATTTTCTAGCTTCATCGCTTGAAAAATCATTTTCTGACTTCACGGGACTCCTTATGTCCTTTAAGTTGCTTCACAGTCATTAAAATTTCATTCACCAATAATATGGGATTGTTCTAAGAAACTAAATCCTCCCATTCCAATCTCATGGACTCTTTTTTCTTTTTTGGGCAAACATAAGAACATTGTGGTATCTTTTTAATTTATTTTTGACCTTTCACTCCCAAAATGAAAATATACACACACAATGAGACAAGAGAGTAGCAAAGTTTACGCATTTTATTGAAGCGCGTGAAATAACTTGTGGAGGAAGACTTCAATCTTTGTGAGTTCCCAATCAAATTCAAAAAGGTCAAATCCTTCCCATCTAAATATAATAACGAATTGACCAAGAAGTCCCCATCTTTCTCACTCACAAATATGACCTCCCTCACTGTTTTGAGGCTAACTCTGTCTTTTTATCTCAATGAGCCCACACGACCTATAGGTCCCAAAACAAAACCGTTTAAAAAATCAGTCACAAGAAGGAAAAAAAAAAAAAGGTCAGGGGCTCATTTTCCATTTTTTGTGATGAGCAGATTTCCCTCTTTTTTTTTTCATTTTTTTTTTTGTTTTTTTCCTTCTTGTGACTGATTTTTGAAGACGGTTTTGGTTCTTACGGAGTATAAATTTTGCATATTTCTTAAATTTCAAATTAATCTAAATCATGGTGACAGAAATGCCCTTACATTGTTGGGCTGTCTGTGTCAGACCCAGACTGTGGGCCCACATCTGAGCTGGTTTCAGTAACTTATTAGACTAAATTCTTGCTAACGATTACTAGGCCAAGCCTTTTTATGCAAAGGCCCAAATAGTTTCTTTCTTCAAGAATAAATGAAGGACCACGCAAACGAATACAATACTGTGGTTTGGTAATGTCTCATTTATACAAACTAAGCAAATAAACGATTTCACCGTATAAAATCTCCTTATAAGTAAAAGTCTATATTACTCCTCTGAACTAAAATTTTAGCAAACAAATACTAAAAAATAAAAAATTTCAAGACACTCCATTTCATCAAGTTATGGTTAAGAAATTAACAATGGAAGCATAACTTGATGAAATGGAGTGTCTTGAAATTTTTTATTTTTTAGTATTTGTTTGCTAAAATTTTAGTTCAGAGGAGTAATATAGACTTTTACTTATAAGGAGATTTTATACGGTGAAATCGTTTATTTGCTTAGTTTGTATAAATGAGACATTACCAAACCACAGTATTGTATATATATATATTCTTCTTCTTCTGACAGGTTTTGTGCAATTGATTTTAAGGGCAATCCAATAATTTAAAGATATTTTTCAAGGTCACGTAACAAAAATTAGGTTGTCGGAATGCAAGTTGTCAATACTTCATAACATTAACTCTATTCAAGGGGTAAATTTTAATTTATGATAATTCAAGAGGTTTTGTGTAATATAAAAAAATAAAAATAAAATAAAAAACCAAAATGCTATGAATTGATTAATTATACAAATCCATCCACCTATTCTTCTACTTCTTCTTCTTCTTCTTTTCTTTTAATTAAAAAGAAAAACTTTATATATGATTTTAAAGAACACCGAGGTTGACTGTTGTCCCATAGATAGCAGCTGGAATTTTAACAGCACAAGAAATCAGGCCCGCCGAATCAGAAGACCGCTGTGCAACTAAATGTGTGCAACTTTTATTCAGTTTTGTATGACTTCTTCTGATTAGCCGGACAACTTAATAATTTCTGGTATGGAAGAACATTGCTTGCTTCGAGTTAAGAGTAGAAAATCATGTAATGTATACAACCACCAAAGCATTCAAAATCACATATAATGTACTCATAATTTCTGATGATTTTTAATCAGAATAAATCTCTGCTTTCAGCTTCTGCCAAACTTCAGGGCCTCTAGGGTGAAGATTTACATAACGATTCATGAATATATTTTCCGAACATGCCATAATAGTGCTCAAAGCCAACTTGGGTTCTACAGTCCCTTGATCTTTGAGCCAATTATACATTGATAACCTAAGCTTAACACTCAGAATTGTGTAGTTAAGACAAGCTGGATATGCCACTAAAAATGATAAGGGATAACCCAGTTCATTTACAAAATAATCAATCTTCATTTTAATCACCTCCTTTTTTTGGTTAAGAACTCGAGGGCATAATTTGATCATATCCGTAACATCCTTCTTATTCAAACCAGCATTCACAAAACAATCAAATCTCTCCTGAAGTTCTCCTAGTTTGCCATGGAACACTTTGAGAGTTTTTCTCATTTCATTCGAGTCTTCAGCAAATCCCAAGTCCAACAAGAACCTAATCCTCATCATCCTTGACCTTAGGTCCTTTGGCAACGGTTTCACCCTTGTTCCCCAAACCCAATTCTTCAGTTCTTGTGGGTTCTTTTTGATGATTTCACAGAGTCGCTTCTTCCTAGCTTTCAAGGTAACTACTACGGTCCCGACTTTCTTTAGATGACATGAACCCAGCAATACGGGGTGTGAACGAACAATCCTCCCAATCTCTTCAACTTCCATCTGAATTTCGATCAAAAAGTGATAGCAATGTCTCAAATTGCAAATGAATTTCTCAAGCTGGACTTGTGGGAACTGCAGAAACATAGAACATATCTCATTCGTTGTGGCACCAAATTTCATTAAGAACACAACAACTGAAAAGGACATATTTCCAGAATTTTGGAATAGAAGTCCGGGATTCTGACAGATTAAACCTTTTAATTGCTCCTCACTGCAACCCAATTTGCTCAATAAGCTTAAAAGCTCAAACATATGGCTCCAATTATAAGAATTCCCCTCTAATAAATGACCCTCAATAAAACCATATTCGATCCCAACACACTTCAGTTTTTCTAATATCTTAGGAAGCTCCCTATTTGCATCCCCAATCAAAAGATAAGGACTTGAAGAAACAATCTTGATTATAGTAGACTGGTTCAACCCCATTTCTTCAAAAGCACCAAGCTTGGACCGCAGAACACCATCATCATATTTAAAAACTTCGGTTGCTTCCTTGTAAATCTTTCCGATCTTATTCGGTGCAATACCATAATTACACAAAACATGAAAATTCTCTAGCAAAGTTCCATCATCATTCAGATAAAACAAGGTACGAGGCAGAAGTGTAGAATACTCGGAAGGTTTTAAACCAATGCTCTCGAAAAAGGGTTCAAACTCATTAATGGGGTGGAACCGCAACAACCTGCTTATGGAGCGCCTAACATCCACTTCAGTCTTGACCTTCTTTAACAAATTTTCAAGAAAAAGTGGTGAATTTCTGCTTATATTCTCAGCATCCATTAATTGCAAGTTTCTAGTGGAATGCAGGTACTCCAATAAAGCAGCTTGGGCTTCTTGCCGAGAGGCCCGAGAGGCTTTGCGAGCAGAAACTTCATCCAATTTTTGACCATCCTCAGATTGAACAACTCTTTTAGTTCTGTAATACCTAGGGTATTGAGCAATTTGTTGTGACCCAGTCACCCAAATGCTTGTTTTTGATGATCTAAAGTTGCTTTCATAGAAATTTAGAGAAACCCATTTGAGCACACAAGGTATTTTAAGTTTCAGTAAATGGGTCATGGATGGCTATGAGATTTTCAGTGTATGATGCAAAGGAAACAAAGAAGGACAAGTCTAAACAATACAATAGCCAAATATGTATAAGCTCTTTAGTTGATATCTCACCTCAAATTTTGATGGGTTTCTTGGCCTCTCTGCTACTGTTAGCTAGTGCTTCTCTGGCAGCCATTTGAGGAGTGCGCAGAAACACTAGCTTCAAAAGGGTTAACGCCGTTTACTTCTTGGGGGGGTTTTTCTAGGGCTTTTTATGATTAGGGTTTGGGGGCGCTGAAGAGAAAGACATTGGAACGACGCTTTTTGGTTTGTTTCTTTTAAACTAGAGAAAAACTGCGTCGTTTTGGTCTAGTATATTGTTTTTATTGGTCTGTCAAACTTAAAAACCCATAATGACTAAGTGTACCTCATTGACTTATGATCATTAACCAAAAGCTAAATAAATAAAACAAAAATAATAAGAGTAAATGAACATGTGCATTATACAACCATATATATGTAATTAAAAGTCAAATGAACTGAATTCTAGAAGATATATTATGCACCAAATTGTTTTCATTTGAAGTTTTAGGTACATTCACCATGTTTTTCTTTGGAAGGATGTAGTAAATACATTGCTTTTGTTTTCTTATCTATATATAGCAGCAAGTGTGGCTTCTGTAGTAGGAAGAGCTCTCATTAGAATCCCCATGGCCATGACTGCTTGCTTATTTATGAAAAAGTCAAATTAATCGGTACCTATGTGCTTTTGGCAGCTAACTTATCTTCAATGGAGGTGGGTATTTCCAGAACCTTCAGGAATTGAAATTTGCATGTCTACAAGACTAGTTGATGGGTCATCCCGGGATTTGACACCCGAATTCTGCATCTCAAACAAGGTCTCGCGCGTTTTTTGTTGCTGGTTGAACATCATCTGCAGCTGCCTCCCCTGTTCTTCAATCCTCAATTGCAAGTCTTGCTGATTCTAACCCCCCAAAAAACAAGAGAACATTTATGTTGTGGGAATAAATTTAAGTACATGACTGGAAAACCATTACTTAAAACCTCTGCATTTCTAATTCTAAGCGATTAGTCATTTTATCATTTTTATGGAAGAGAAAATGTGGATAGTTTGACCATTTGCACTAGTAGAAAAGAAAACATTGGTGAAATAGAATTAGTTAGTAGTGGTATTGTCATTGTGTATCTTAGGAGAAGATGGTGATGTAGGATTTTTGGCCGTTTTCATGAAGAAAAATCAAATGGCAGATTTTGATCTTTTATCTAGTTTTATTGTCTAAAAATTGTAATGAGACTAACAATTAACTAAATATATCCCACAGAAAAGTGAACGACATACCTCTAACTGCTGGTGAAGACGCCTCTGCACATCCAGTTGCAATTGCAGTGCCTCGTTGATTTGCAAGCCACTGCTGAAATTTATGAGAAGTCAGTGTCAGATCAAGTTCTTATGTAGTGTATGCTAACAAATAAGTGGAAAGGAAAAAATGCCAATTTTTTTTTTGGTTATAAAATTTGAGGTTGGAGCTTCAATTCATAATCAAGACTGGAGAGTTTCATCACAAATATTACAATATTGTGGCAATCTGTACTGCATCATTCATGTCAGTCCTTTTCTCGGATTTTGCTGCAGTAGAAAGAAAATAAAAGATATATAGTTCAGTATCAGAATCAATTCGTAAACTAGTTAGATTGAATCACTATGGTTTATAGATTTTAAAGACATAACTGGCATAATAAAGTCTGCATCTCATCACATGTAAAACTTCAGCCAAAATATTACCTCTACTAGAATTATAACTGAAAATTTATCTCTTAGATTATACAAAGTTAAGCAAGTTTTTTGGGATTTGGGAACGAAGTAACTCTCTAAAATGGTGCAAGACCATGTTATAATTGTTTTCGTTTTTCTTTTTAATAATATATAATCATCTTTAACTCTACTTAAAATCTTAACCTAGGAAGCTCCTTGCCAATGCTTGATGTCTCTGATGCCCATCCAGTGCTGTAGAGATGGGCATAACACTGAAACACTGATCATACATTTTCTCATCCCGAAAAAGCAAGGCCAGCCTAAGAGGTGTTAATTTCAGTGGGATTAACCGGCTTTATAAAGATAATACACAAGGCCAGAATAAGCTAAAGGTTCTGACATAGAGGCAGAATTTCGAGAACATGAATTGCGTAAAAATTTATAAAATCTCAAGAAGCATGATTAATTTTGTCAACAACACAAGGAGAACTCACCAAAACATTAAGTAAAGATCTCATGACAAATCGATACAGACATGTAGACCAGGATATATAGAAATGAAACGATCCAACTTTTATTACACTAATGTGCAAAACCAACAGCTCAAGCAGATCATAATAAAATATAGCACTCTCTCTTCAAGAATCATCAGAGCTAATTAAGGAGCTTTTACCTTCTGCAAAATGTGGCATGTACTTGGCAGCTCGATATTTCTACAAAGGAAATGGACAACTAAAGTGAAAAGAGTGGATTTATATTTCTATACAGAAAATACCAAAGAAGATCTGAACAACAAAGTTCGTTACACACATATATTAGTACCTGCAAGTGACTCTTCACATGAAACATAGTCAATCCTTCTGAGCCCATCAGCTTCAGTATTGCCTTTGGTGTTGCCTCTACAATAAAGGAGAGACACAATGAATAAATGTAATTTTCCTTCAACAGATCAAAGCTATATTAAGTTACTCACTCTCGGCACCACCAAGGCGATTCACACACTCAACAAACCGATCATGAAGATTATGTGTCCATCTAATTCGTGTTTTACTCGGGAAAACTGCTCTGAAATGACCAGAGTGATCAGAAGCAACAGAAACATTTCCAGGAGATATTGCAGACTGCCTCAATAGTTCAAACTGAAAACCATTCAGATTATTTGAGGCCTGTAGGAACATAACAGGTATGATTAACAAAAAAAGGTTTGTCACACGAAGAAGAATAATACAAGTACTTACTCTAAGATGCTGATTTTGATCGAAAGGAATTGAAATATGCTGCCTATCTGAGATCTCAATAAGATCACATGACTGCTTGTTCTTGAGCTGGAAAACGCGTTGGCTCTCAGTAAGATCAATGGACGGACTTTTGTAGGACTTGTCTGAAGAAGTGCAGTGTTGAGTGGTATAAGAGTGAGATTTCACAGATGACTGTTGGGAATTTTGAGATAGGGAATTGGGAGCAGCAAGCTCTGGCACATTAATGTAAAAAATATCCCTGGAAGATTGATATGGTGGGATATGCAGATCATAATTCCTGGACAACTGGGAGCTCAGAGGGAAATTATTACCAACTTGATTCTCATATTTTGGAAAACTCATCAATCTTTCAGTTGAATAAAAAACAGAAGATAGTGAACCTGTACGGCTCATAATGGCACCGGAGGATGAATTGGCATGCCCAAAGTTTGGCTGTTGTGATCCTCCGGAGGATGAATTGGCTTGCCCATTGTTTGGTTGTTGTGATCCTCCCTCATTTGGTGGTGCTCGAGTGAATATTCCCATGTCTTAATTAAAGAGTTAAGGCTGTTGTTGAGTACGAAAACTTTTCTGTTGGTGAACTACTCAAAATTATAGTCATTCATGGGTCCATGGTTGCTGAATTCATTCTTGGCAATCAATCTTCTGTGTGTGTGTATCTACAAAATGATCAAAACTGAAGTCCAACAATATATTGCTGGCTTTTGAATTACTATTAACCAGACCAATTATATAGATTGTTTGACAAAACCGAAGTGTTCGTCTCTCCTTAGTAAATTACGACTTTAATACAATGAAACACCAGAAACATAAAAGCAATTTCATTATTAATGTTTTAATGTTTATTATATTTATTGGATACAAAGAAGGTTGTCAATATTATTGTATTTGATATCACCATCACAAAGTGTTACTCTCAGCTATTGCGTTTTGGGTAAAGAGGTTAAAAAGATTAATTCCTTTGTAAATATCACCATCTGGTTATAATTGAATTCCTTTTGATCGTCCAAACACATTATACAAGATTCTTTCAGGTAGTTCGCTTCACAAGTCTAACATGAATCATGTTGTTGAAAATCATTTTATCATTTCAGTGCTATCTAAGAATTTCAATCCTTATTATTATTATTTTTTCATTGGCAGGAAATTCATACCCTCACCTATGGGAACTTCAACTCTCACCCACTAGGCTACAGTCTCTTTGGGAATTTCAATATAAAAATATTTTGCATAGTACTTTTACCTCCTATTTGAAAAAATGTGCTAAGAACACCCCTATTCTTTTAAATTTTGTGTGAAAAGATCCTCAATCAAGCATAAAGTAATGTTGTAATGTTCGATTTGCCCTTTTCGAATTTGAGAAAATGCTCCGAGGGGGTGTGCATACTAATAATCTAATAGTATAAGTGTGTTATGTGCATATTAACTATATTTAACCCATTTTAAAAAATTTTCTCTCACCTTTTCGAAAAAATAAATTCTCTATATATTTCCACTACAGTGTATTCTCCCTTAAAAAATAAAATAAAATTTGTATTGTCACAATTGTTAGATTAGTGTACAATATATCATATGGAACGAAAACTTTTGTTCTTAATAATTATAAAAAAGAAAACAAATATTCCCAATTAAATTTTAATATAGTTATCAATTTTCATTAAAATATATAATTAAAAAAATAAATTATAGATACTTATTCATTATATATAAACATTATGCATTTAATTTTTCAAACTTTAGAATTTGTAATAAATTATCAGAAATATATATATAATTTTACATAGCAACAAATGAGTATTCAATCTTTTTTGGGAAAAAATAAACAAACAAATGGATATTTAATCACCTATTGTCATTATATTATTCAAATCATGATAAATTACGTTCTCAATTAAATCTAACTGTTAAGATCAAAAGATTCAAAATAACAATTGATTATAAAATGCAAAAAATACTCATATAATATGTTTACAATGCGTATTACACCCTTCATGTATTTCATCATTTCATAAAAATGATTCTTTAAAAAAATAATATATAACTTAAAAGTGTTAGGAGGGACTTATTTACGCCAAATTAAAATTGTAAGAGTTTTTTTTGCACACGAAGGGTGTGATACTATACTATAGAGGTGTTTTATGCATCGACCATATATATATATATATGTATGTATGCTTGTGGGGGATTTCCTCTATATATATATATATTTTTTTTTTTTTAATTGATATTTACACACACATGCCTCCACCAATCCTCGAACTCCTAACTTCCTTTTAAAAAATAAGAACCTGTTAGACCACTGACCTATTGATAATTTTATCTGTTTCTACTTTCAAACCGTGGAAACAACGCTCACAAATTTAACTAAAGAACATGATGCAAGCCATGATGACAGTCCATCAAGGATTGATGGTAACTAGTTATATTTGAATTGGTGCATAAGGTAAAATTAGCTAAAAGACAGTAAAAATATATATTTATAAAAAAAAGAATATATTTTTCTCCTACATGAGGAAAAGAACATAATGAAAAGACAAGTGGTGGTAATACCTATTAAGGCAACAGTTTTCATGAAGTAATAAAATATACATTTAGATTTAACCTTTTCGATGGAGACTGCCTAGTGCCTACCAATGCAGTCTTGGTCGTTTTTCATTTCAGAAGGGTACCTATATCTACGTCCAACGTCTTAATCGAATTCTTTCTTGTTAAACAATCTCTTTCTAGTTAGGAGATTCTCTAGAAGAAATACTGAGGTTTTGCTTCAAACGGCACAATGGTATTGGGGTGGATGGTGGTCCCGCTTTCTCATGATTGATCGATCATCCTGATCAAGCATTCAAGACTAGAAAAATAAATATAAAATTATGAACATTCATTTCTTTTATACTTGGAATGAAAATGGTAGGGTAAAATAATTAAATAGTTATAATATCATTACTCATTATTTGTTAATTATTTCTCCAAGTAAAAATATTAAAACACCCCATTTTGGACTTTAAAAAAAAAAAATTTGAAATTCACTCACAAACAGGTGAGTCAAGTAGGTAAGGCTATTTTTTTTTAGGATAAATTGCATTGACACTTCCTGAAATTTCGGTCAATGTCACTCAGATGCTGCTCAGCGATTTTCTTAACAATGACATCCCATGTGGTTTCAAATGTCATATTTGTCCCTAATTATTTAATTCAATTAATTTACAAAATAATAGCCCTGTTAATTAACGAAACCACCTTCATCATTAAGTCTATTTTTCTACCATAATCTCTAACTTTACCCCAAAATAATAGCCCTGGTGGTCGATGAAGGGAAACGTAACTGGCGGTAGAGGAGATAACAACTAAAGCAAGTTAATTCACAAACCTTAGGGGGGGAAATATTGCCGTGTGGTGGTGTTGTATTTGTGATTGAGATGAATAAGGGAATAAAAGTGTGTGTGAGATGAGAGAAGATAATGGATGGGAATGTTGAGATAAAAACAGCAATTGTTGTTTTAAATTCTATTGTGGTAATGGCTGGTGGTGGTGGTGGTGATGGTGTTTAGGTTGGACGTGGCTGCTTATTATTATTATTTTTTCCCTGTTGTGGTGGCCATGGTTGATTTTAATTTTTTTTTCTACTCTGGTGGTGGTTGTTGTGGTGTCGTGGTGGTTATGGTAGTGTTTAGGTTATCAGGGGTGTTTTAAAATTTTTATTTTTATTTTTTCTATTGTGGTGGTGGCATGGTGGTTATGGTAGCTTCGGGGTGTGTTGGTGTTGTCGTCTTAGCGTGGTGGTGGTGGTGGTGTCTTGGTGTTGTGGTGGTTCTGTTGGCGTTTGGAACGTATAAGTATGGATTGGGAATGATTGTTTTCAAATTTATTTATTATTATTTTACAATTTTGGTGTTTGGATGTGGTGGTTATGGTGGTATATAACTATCTAGCTATTTCAAAAAAATAATATAAAATAAAAATAATAATTTTCTTTTTTTATTTTTTATGTTGTGGTGATAGTTATGATAGTATAAGTATTATTTTATATAAATTATATCTATACCTATGGAAGAAATTGGTCCATTAAATTTAATTAAGAGATTAAATTTATAATTTCATAATTTAAATAGAGTTGTTGATAAATCAAAGGGTTAAAATGTAATTTTATATGATTTTTGAGGTTAGGATGGGATTTCACTGCATATTTTTAAAACCTCAAGAGGTGTCAATATAAAAAAAAGTTATTGATCATTTGTCAAGTAATGTTGACCAAAACCTCTAAGAGTGTAAGTGCAATTTACTTCTTTTTATATATATATATATATATATATATATATATATTTTGTAATGGAGAGAATCCTTTGGAGGAGTAGGTATTGAATGCATTGGGCATTCCAAGCTATAGCCGGCCAATGAAGCAAGTGGCATAAAGCTCACATTCGGGATCAATTCCACAGAGTGGGAGGATTTTTTTTTTTTGTTGGAAAGAAACTCTCTCTATTGTAATTTCCTTTTAGAATGATATTCTTTTATGTGAATAGAGAGTCCTAATATTTCGAATTAAAATTTCTTATTAAATTATTTTTATTATATTTTCTTTTATATAAATATTAATTATATATATATATATATATTCATAATTAGTATCAATTTATCATAAAAATATAAATAATAAATAAATTTATAATTATCATTTTCTAAAATATTAACTTATGATTAGAATTTTATTATTTAAAATAAAACTTATTAAACCCATATTAAACTTTTTTAACATATTAAAAATTAATAAATTACTTAAATAAAAAATACTTTCTTTTTTCATATAATATATTCATAAAAAATTAAGAAATTAATTAATTTTTTTAAAAATTTTGTATTTAAGATATTTATTTAAACAATTAATATTAAAAATTAAAGATAAATTTATGCAAATTTAATTTAAAAAAAACTTGTCTTTAAATTAGTCTGAATTTTTTTCATAATTTATTTTAATAAAAAAATAAATATAATTCAATAAGAAATGACATTATAATTTTTTAATAAAATATAATTTAGACATTAGAATATTACTTTTAGAAACTTTAAACATAGTTAAGGGTTTTATTTATTTATTTTTGGCGGCACTTTACTCTAAAATTAAATAATCTTTCCTAAAGGCCATTTTCGTAATCTTTCACTTACTCTTACCGTCAAGATCACAAAATTGATTGGTGTTTGAAAACAAACCCTAATCGTCTTCATTCAGAAACCCTAATTTTTCTGTAGATTTTCAAGTTTCGTTTCTTGTTAAAAAGGGCACGTGTCCAGTGCCAGAACTGGTTAGTTTTTCTTCATTACCATCTCGAATGTACAATTTTTCATATATAATGTGTAACTTGATTGATGACTTTTTTATATTTTTAATGACTTCTAAAGCATTCCGATTTATCTTCGTTTCATATAAAAGGTCGCATTGTTCAATTTCTGTTTCAAAGGATAAATTAGGGTTACTTTCGCTGTTTAATTCAATTAGGGTACGCGAGCAGCATAAAATGTTGTATGGTTCAATAAAGTGCGATTTTCTTGGTGTTATGAGATGGATAATCCCGTTACTTTCGGCTCTTAATTTAAATTTCACTATGTGGACTGCATGAATTAGATTCATGATGATGTAACTGTTCACTGTTTTCAATTTCGCTATAAGTTATTGGGTTTTTGCTCTCTTTAAATAGCCATTAACCTGATTCCCTTGTGTATTGGAAAT